TATATATATAGACGATTTGTGCAATATAGGCAAACGATAGGACGTTTTTCATTAATCGCCCATATTTGAAGAAAGGAATTGACAGAATTGACGATGAAATAAAGATGCAATCGTCATGTTTGAAAACGATGAGAAAATTTTGCGAATGAGTGCAAACGATAATAAACGTTTTGTACTATACCCTAGTTAAATCACATTCTTAATAAATTTGACATTAATTGCGTCTTTTCGCTATCAAATACTCATTACTATATTTATTGAAAAAATTAAAAATAAATCAAGTTTGAATTTATATACAATGATAAGTTCATGTTTAGAGTTATTTATAAACGATTTAAATTGTAAATAGATTAAAATGAATTATGAATAAGTGGAGAGTAAATGTATATAAAAATCAATTTGACCTGTTATAAAAGGCAGCCATACATGAGTAATTTATGATTAGAATTCCCTACCACGATGATTTTTCAATTTAATTTAATGAAAAATTGGAGAACTTCAGTTTCAACACAAAACCAAGTCTTGAACAATAGTGAAGATTTTAGCCTTTGTATCGCTTGCTTCTATTTCCTTTTTTGTTCGTACAATAGACATTTGATATTCTTTTGCATATAACATCTTTTCTTATCAATAAAATGAATATCTTACGTTTGAATTTTCTAGCTGAGATATTTTGTAGGAAAAAAAAACATTGCTATCATTGCAAGAAGTAGACACCTACCAGGCTAAAAACATGGGGGTGGGGTCACATTTTCTTTTTAATACAACGGGTGAGGTCTGCAGCTACTGTGAGGGGGCATGTGAGGCCCATGTGAAGAATTATTCGGGTCATAAAGAATTATTACATTAAAAAAGGACATGGGAAATTTTTGGCTCAGACTATTTCATCTTACTGCCGGTAATGGTCATAAATTTCTGAAGGACAACAAAATAATTGAATGGTTTGACTTTTTCTTTCTGGCAAATGGATTCAAACATGTACGACCGACATCTATCTAGAAATTTTCCACATTTATTGTGAAAGTACTTAACTACAT